GGTGTTCTGGCTTCTTGACAAAGTTGGAATGACGAAAATATTAACATTTCAAAACAAAATTTCCAGAGATGGGCGAGCGTGACTGGTGTTCTTGTTCGGTATGAGTTGTTTCTCAATCCTGTCCCGGTATGCAATATGCACTGGAATCTGTCGGCGAACACGGCAGTCACCACGGCGGTTACGTCTGAGCTTCAGAAGACCAAAATCCTTCAGAGTTTGATGAATAATCAGACGGAAAAAGAATGACCTGTCACCTTGAAGCTTACTGTCTCTCAACCTCAATAGACTATGTAGACACATGGTTGCAAGTACATGGAATTGTTGACAATAGAGGTTTTATCCACTTACATTCGGTTTATAATTCACACCGCTGAAGTGGCGAAATGTTCGCATTATTTCCGTTCTCACGAGCAACAGTAAGGAGTAAAAACAGCTCGTTAAACAGTTTGGATATTTGGTTGACCAGACAAAATAAATTTACGGTTGCAATGACGCCCCCCAAAACAAGGATTTTAAAAGGTAAAACATGAAGCTACGAAAGAAATCGGTTGTTTTGTTTCATATAAAAAGTGTCATCATTCAGGTGCAAATCCATGACACCTCCAACCCCGCTAATCACTTGGGGTTCGTCTGAAGGTTGGGAGATCCCACTTGAAAGCATAAACTATGTATTCATTTTTGTACTTAGGTCAGGGAAAACTAAGGGATCAAATGGTTTCACTTACACGGCAACAGCATGCAGTACTCTCCACGTGCAAACAAAAAAAATTCCCGAGCAGAAAATCCTGGTCCGACCCTGTAATTGAAGTTATGGTCTATATTTTATTTCCCCTTGTACTCCGTGTCATTTCAGTGCCAGACTTTGTCAAGGTTCCAACCTACCGGTCCATGGAGATTAACAATATGATCCTGCTGTGGTACCACGCTGAGGGAGAAGAGCCGTCCTGGTACCCGCCCGAGTTGGAGAAAATCAAGAGTGGGGAGATGACCTTAGACGGTACCTTTGAGTTTTACGTGGACTGCCATATCCAGGTGAAGTAATTTTCTTCATGGCACCTGTTACAGAAAGAAATAGTTCGGGATTTGGCAAAAAAGGTCGTTTGAAAGCAAAGCGCATGAAGAGGGGACAGTCAAACATGTTTGGTGCGACGAGTTTGAGTGCGGCCGTCCTCCCGGGGGTGTATGTTACTGTTCTCGAGTGACCAGTGGCTTGTCCCAGGAAAATGTCGGCAAAGCCTGAGCAGCTTTTGTTTTCCTTTTTTTCTTTTTGGCTTTTTGCAATTTTGCATTGTTTTTCTTGTTTTTCTTGCTTTTCGGCAAGTTGTAGAAAAAGCATTCTTTTTGTCAGGGGGGGGCTTTTTCGTAGTTTTCCGCAAAAATTTACATATAATGTCACACAGATGATTCCGTATGAGGATTGTGACGTGACAGAGGGCGCTAGTCACTAGGCACGGTGCAAAGATATAGATGGCGCTCTGCCCAGTAACAGAGGCAGATGTTAGGCGCGCATAGCTGTGTGTTAAGCAAGCGCGGCGCATAGGCTCCGCCTTGTGCGTTGTGCAATAGGGCAGCGGAAGTCACTGCTTAGTCACGTGAGCGCGTGTGCGGGCGTGGTCATAGCAGCGCGAAAGCTATAAAAGGCGCGCGTAGGCTAGGACTAGTCGTCCTGATAAAGGGCTGATCCTGAGGTAAGGGTCGAGAATCCTGCGCAAGGGTTAAAGTCACCTAGCCCAGTGTGACTGTGCCTAAGTCTGAGTGGTGCATGCGCTGTTGAGGGGCTCGGTGGGTTGAGGGGCTGATTGTTGGTGCGGTATAGTTCCTGATAGGAGCTTGCGGTCGATGCAAGGGTGGATTGCTATCTCGTGACGTGAGTTGCGTGTAGCGCAGCCCTAACAATAAGCCCCTTAGACTTGCTAAAGTCCCTGATTCGGCACTGGATGCCCGCAGCTAATTGTGGTGTAGGCTGCTCTGGGCGAAGTCTGGTCACGTATAATCATGCAGTCTCCCCGTCAATAGCGCCCTCTACTGGTGTATTGGTTGAGTGTGTTGGTGAATAAACCAGCCGCTTGTTAATTGTTGTATATAAGTCAGGAGTCCAGGCGAAGTTTATTTCAATTCAGGTCTGTCTGGGTTACGTCATTAAGTTTCGACCAATCAGATTAGCCATCATCTCGACGAAGACCAACTTTCTTGGGGGACGGTATACTTTGGTCCCAACAGACTCGTCCCTAGCCGCTCAGGGAGTCTCCAGCGTGCCGTCCGACGCACCGCGCTTCGAGGAAGAGGGCACCCTCGCCTTCGTCGGAGGGGCGAGGCGCCACAATATGCATGCCTCTATAACATTGCCAAATTTGATTCAAATACATCATCCTATGGCCAAGATCGGGGGGGCAGATTCCGCCCCCCCCTGTGACAAGGCTAAAAAAACCCAGCTTTTTGAGGGTTAAAATTTTTGCCTTTTCGCATAGTGCTGAAACGGCTTTGTTCTTCTACTTATTTTTCTTTTTTGGCTTTTTGCAATTTTCCTGCAAGGCATTCTTTTGTGTGTTTTATTTTTGGCTTTCAGGCAACTTTGCGTAAAAGGAATCCTTTTTGGGGGGGGCTTTTTTGCAATTTTTCCGCTTTTTCACAACCTTGCTAAAAAGGCATTCTTTTTTCTTCTGTTTTTTGGCTTTGAGGGAACTTTGCGAAAGAGGTATTCTTTTGTTCTATTCTTGGCTTTTTCGCAAAACGCAAAAGAGCCATTCATTTTGTTTGGTTCTTTCGGTTTATTCCCATTTTCCGAAAAAGGTATTCTTTTTGTCTAGGTTTTTGGCTTTTTTGCAGTTTGCGAAAAAGGCATTCTTTTTTTTTTTCGGCTTCTTCCTTTTTCTTCTGCTCAAAAACCCGTTTATTTTGTACACGTTTTTCTACCGGCGACTTTAAGCTGCTGCAACTTTGGATCATCATCAAACTTGTACCAATGAAGAACCCTTATGCATACATAGTCCTAAAAACATGACGTCATGATGACGTCATTAAGGGATTTATTATTGATTTTTCAATATTTATTTTAGGCTATATCAATCATGTGCACTTGTCATTAAATCTTGTATTTTTTTCCAAGATTTTCGTCACTGGTTTCAGATGAATGAAACCAGGGCCGAAGCAGCCGTATTTGTCAATAACTTGAACTTATTTCTATTTTTGGGGGGTGGGGGGTTGACTTGCTCAACCATGGAAATTTGAAAGCGTGAGGAGGCTCGGAGACGACACCATAATGAAACTCTACGGGGGTGATGTCCACGAAACAGATGTACATACGTGATACATTCATGTAGAATTTCAAGACAGACTGGCATATTTATGACTTTTAAACTTCTTGTTCCCTTTTGAGGGAATTCGATTACGTTTTAGTTGTTGGGAAGTGGAAAAATTATCCATATTTCCCTTGATTTTTGTACAACTCGAAAAAAACCGGGGGTTCAATTAATAGTCCATCTCCCAAAGAAAGGTTTGGAGGATATACTCCACCCCCTGGGATTTACTGCCCTCGCAAATGACCTGCGATGCACTTCAAGCTGGTGACAAAATAGTGGTAAATATCCCCCCTTCATAAAATCACGAAAAATACAAGTCTTTGAGGCGTTAAAGACAGGTATAAATTGAAGGTCACTTCCTGATCTTTCATTTTCCTTTCAATTTTTTCGGTGAATTATAATTGATAAGTTTGAAAATTTATCTCTCCATAGATAATCACCCCTCAAAACAGTCATGAGGCCCATCGCCACTTTGAAAATTGATTCCCACACTCCATTGCAAAAGAGAGTAAATTTGGAGGACACTGTTTGGACTGATACTATCAAAAATACAAGCTGGCGGTCCTGCTATTAGATTCCATCCTCCTTTACAAATCATCCCACTCCGCATGCCAAGAAATGTTTAATGGAGAAATCGACAGAAATCGTGACTCGGTTGCTTAGCATTATGTAGGTACCTGGATTTCGGATTTCGCGCTGGATGATAGTTGCACTGGACATTGGACTGGACGTCGAGGCTGGGGGTTAGTCTGAAAGATTGATTCAAATCCACGATTGACTGCCTCCATGAGATCACACTAATACTTGAACATGTTCTGTTTTCACTAGGATGTCGCGGAAAATTCCGCCGATGAGGCGCATTTGCAGTACCTGCACGGACCGTAAGTATACAGATAGACAGTATGGTACTGGCTGTTTGATTAATATAAATAAATTTTTGATTGATCGATATTATTCAAAACAAATTATAATAATAAATAAAATAAAAGATTTGTTTGATATTTTTTCTCTTATTTCTTGTCTCTTTCCCCCGTAATTTTTACGTGAGCATACCGTGTTTGTGTGGGGGTCGACCGTCTTTTTCCGACAGTCATTTTGTTCTTATTTCTTGCTTGCCTGTATGTTTACTTGCATGCTTGCTCCCTAGTTCGCTCACTCGGTTATTTCTTCTAGCCCTGAGAAACTTTTGATGCGAGACTATAGAGGGTTCGCATGGCTGCCATCTTGCAGGCCAGTGCTTTTGTTCCGCAGGGTATGCACAAAGGAGGTTTCCCTATGGAAAAGAAGAACTGCCCGGCAAGCTGGCTTCCACAGAAAGCCCCTGTTGAGGGTCTATTGAGGCTTCAAAAGATTTCACCACAAGGTTCGATAACGGCTAGATGGTGGATTTCACTATACTAAAGACATGCGTTCTGAGAAAACAGCGCAAAATCGGACGGGAGTAAAGATTATGATTGCTACGACAAGTCTCTTTCTTGTTAGCGTTAGCTGTCACAATGTTAACAAGTGCTAGCTAAGTCAGTTTTTTCTATCCTCCTTCCCCTAAATACCGCTGAAATAGTGGTCAATCTTCGGGCCCAGGTCTGAATGTAGCTGCCTGTCTCATGCAAGTAGGCCCACAGGTTAGAGGTTTTTGTTGACAAAATACCAAAAATCCGCCAAGTAAGAGCCCCAAGTGCTTGATTTATAGATATGTTTGTACGATCGTGTCTGGTTATGGCACTTCTTATTGTAATTAACCAAGGAATACAAAAATGCGTGAGCTCGACGCGCAGAAATTTAGTACGCAGCCTTATCCACTTAGTGTGTTAGCTGTCATACACATGCAGGCATTCCAATTATTAACGCCCTATGGCTAAATAGATTTCTGTGACCAATCTGTTGCGTAAGTGTGGCGCCATTGCAACTTAAAGTGCTACAGAAATAGAAAACATTTGGTTCGCGTGAAGTACTTCAAAATAAGAATAAATACGTAGCCATTTCAAAAACACCGTACATTTAATGTTTACCCCATTAATTGTTACTGCGAAATGAATAAAGAGATCCTGCGTTTCCCCGCCCCAAAAATCCCCTTTTCGCCGTCCACGATCCCAGGCTGATTAGATGGCGTCATGGCCAGAGTGATGCATGTGTTGTGAAACATTCTTCGTTTCCTCGAGAAACCTTTTTTATTACACCAGCTAGTTCGAATTGCCTATTCATTTGCTAGTTTGATTACGTAATAGGATCATTCCATGCCAAACCAACACACTTTTTAACCTTGGGTCGTCAGATTTTGATAAAAATTGCTGTGCTTGTTGACATCAATGAACAGTAAATACTTCTTCTTTTTTTAGCTGAATCCGCCCTTCCATGTGGTCAGGGCAGAGATCAACAAAAATGGACAGTTTTCACTTAAAAATCCACTCATGTAGTAAAAATGATACATAACCCTTTCATTTTTTCATTGAATATATCCACATGTGCTATCAAAAGTCGGAAGAACATGCTCTTTCTACTGATGTTGCGAAAATTTAACTTTGTGAGTCAAGATAACCTTTGACGGGGTCAGTGACCTGATCATCATTTTGATTTTTTTAAACCAAGTCTTTCTGAAAGTGTGGTTCCTGCTCTGGAAGAATCCGCTTAAATCTTTCTGGGGTGTGTAAAATTTAAAAAAAAATTGCCAATTAGTCTACAGTTAGTCAGCTCAGAATATGTCAATTTTGTATGTAATCCTGATAAAGGAGTTTGAACCAAAGCAATTTATGCTCTAAAATGAAATTAACCCTAAGGTGTATGTACAATGATATTGAAATTGGAAGATTTGGTACTGTTAGGTTGTTTTTCAGAGATAGAGCAATATATCACACAAACTTGTAATTTTATTTTAATCATGGGTTTCGCCCTTGTAACGGAGGCTGAACATATGAGGACTAAGGAGCTGTCATGTGTTGACTGGGCAAAACGTAAAACCTGAAGGTGCTAAAGACTACGGTACTCGCACTCTACTGTTATTGCCCTTGCACCATGAATGGCAACAATTGAGTTTTTTTTCTTTTTCAACTCAATTCCACCAGTAGACTTTGGCAGTTTACTAAATCTGATCGACTTCCAACTTGGCAGACCTTTGAACCATCATCCAAGGACGGTCCTAGAAGAAATTAACAGTGATAACTTAAGTAGTTTATTTATTATTGATTTTATAAGAATTAATTTTTCCCCATAGACTTTGTACACAGATTGCACTTAGTTTTCGGACTTTCCTATATCAGGCTATGGGGGCGCTATTGCAGAATTACGGTGACACCTGCCTTGGCTTTCAATTTTCAACAAACTGTCCTATATTGAACCATGGATGGCGTTCTTGCACAACGTAAGGTTTGTACACACATTGCCCAGCAGAATGCGTGAGCAGTCCTCAACTTCGACTGAGAATTACCACCAGAACAAAGAAGAAATCAGACTAAATTTTCCCTTCCGTTCGATTGCAAATATATCCAAGTGTGCAAATATTAAATAATATTTCATAAGTTTTTCCCAGTTTAGACAAAAATCACGTGACATGAAATTAAAGGAGCAGTTTTCCTGCACACGTGTTTCTAGCCCATTGACTTTGTACACGTTTTCGAGCCACAAATTTGGTAACTTTGCAGTGTGTGATCGTTCCCAAAGTGATAGCCAACAAAGACCCTGGTGCAAGATTTTTGGGAAAGGGATGACGTCATAATGAAATCATCACCTTATTTTATATTCATTTTTGAATATTTATTTTTCCCCATAGGATTTGCACACGTTTCTCTACTTAACACAAGTGAACAAGTAGTCTTTAACTTCGGCGCAAGATTACTATAAGAACGAAAGAGAAATCGGGCAATTTACGCTGTTCTTTTATAAGAGTCGGAATATGATGTAATATGTCATTAAAAGTGTTCAGTTTAAGTGCATATCACGTGACATGAACTTAAAGGAGCAGTATTTTCGTAAATGAGTTTTTTTGCCCTAGACTTTGTACACGTTTTCAAGGTACAATTTTAAAACCTTTCCGATGTTTGATGGTTATCAAAGTAACAGCCAACAAATACCGTGATACAAAAATTATTGTAAGTAAAGGACGTCATGATGACGTCAACATGTCATTTATTCTTGATTTTTCAATATTTATTTCAGCCCATTGACTTTATACACGTTTTCAAGCCAGCATATGGGTTAATTTGAGAGCTTTGATCAACTTAAAAGTTACAGCCAACAAAGACCTTGATGCAAAGATACGTCCAAGTTTATGACGTCGTGATGACGTTATCATGTGATTTATTATTGATTTTTTAATACTTATTTCATTGACTTTGTACATGTTTCGAGGCACTATTTTCGTACCTTATTAATCGTTGGTTAGTTGGTTGGTTGGTTGGTTGGTTGGTTGGTTGGTTGGTTGGTTGGTTGGTTGGTTGG